GGGCGGCACGTGTGGCGACGCACAGGCGCGGAGGGGTTGTGCGTGAGAAGCAAGGGTCAATGGGCAGGGGAATTGGCAAAAGGGCGCGTCGCATCAAAATTTTGATGGGTTGTGGTGTTGAGGGTCGCAGAGTGCGCGTCGAAGTGATGATTGCGCCGCAGCAAATCATCCCCAACGGGGCAAAACACATGTGCGCGACGGTCAGCTTGCGGCTAAAGGGATGCCCCCTGCAGCACAGCCCGCACGACCCTCAAGGCTGAACGTCCCCTTCACTCCACACGCGGTTCCGACTCGTTCAGCCCAAACACCCCGCAAGCCGCATCGAAAAACACAGGCACCTGTACAGGAGGCAGGCGAAGTCTGTGTGCAGCCCCTCGTCCCGGCTGATGAGCTCGTTGCTGAACGTGAGCCCCGGCATCAGGCCTGCGGGGGTTGCGCGTGGGCCAGGAGTCGCGATCAGCAGGCAACAACTGGGCTGGTGACTGCAACAACCCAGCCACTCTGCACTCCGCGCTTGTCACTGTCTCAGGGGAGGGGCAGACTGGGACCTTTGCCTTGCTGCCCAAGCTGTGCTCACCGCGCTTCTTGAGCCAGAATATGGCGCAGAAGCTGCCGCTGAAGTGGATGCCCTCGACGCACGCAAACGCCAGCAGCCGCTGCGCGAACGCCGCGCCGCTGCCGGCCCAGCGCAGCGCCCAGGCGGCCTTGCGGCCGATGACGGGGACCGTGTGTATGGCGCGCAGCAGGGAGGCGCGCTCGGTGGGGTCCCTTACGTAAGACTCCAGCAGCAGGCTGTACATCTCTGTGGGAGCGTTGGTGTGTTGAAGCGTGAGTCAGGGAGGGTGCGGGGAGGTGTGTGCGCGCACGTGTGCACGTATGCGAGGTGTGTGTATGTGTGTGAGGTGTGTCTGAGACAGAGAGGTGTGTTCGTTTGAGAGGTGTGTGTGTGTTTGCGTGCGTGTGTGTGCGTGTGTGGGTGGGTGTGATGGGTGTGAATGTGCGCACCATGCACCAGCGTGGGTCAGCCTTGGGCCGCGCAGCCAAGGCCCAACCCACTCACCGCTGTGTATGTTTTCAATGGCAATCTGGAAGCCGTAGAACGCCCGTGCCTCGGGGGCCTGCACCTCTGCGGGGTGGGCGAAAGGGTGGGGCGCTCGCGACAGTCACAGAGCCGTTCGCCTGCGTGCGCTGCGTCCCCGGGACTGCTAATGCAGATGGCCGCTGCCTCGCCAGCCAGCAGCCCTGCAGTGCGGGCCGCCTCCTCACCTTCCCCAGGCTATGCTGCAACACTGCCTCGGGCCCAACCTGTAAAATGACGCCCTCCTCGCCACATCGAAAACCACAGCCGGCCACGCCACACCCCCACCCGTACCCCGACGTCATCCATCACTCTCGCCCCCCGCAACCCTCACCCGTCATGAACCGCGCCCCCAGGTTCTCCAGCACAATGCCATCAGAGGCGGCGAAGAAGGCCAGCACGTACTTGACAAACCGCTGCTCCCCCTCCGTCAGCTTGGCCCAGTCCCTGAAGTCGCCCCCCAGGTCGACCTCGTCGACGGTCCAGAAGCTGGCGAGCGCCTGCTTGTACATCTCCCACACCTCGGGGTACCTTTCGGGGTGGTGATGGGGGGGACGTTTGTGCATTGGTTTGGCTGCACCGCGGTGGTGTGTGATGGGCGACGCCGCACGCGCTGGAGGAGGCAAGGCTCAGGGAGGAGACTGGGCAATGGGTGCGGATGGAGGAGCGCAGGCAGCGACGCACAGCACACACTGCACAGGTGGGCCAATACTCGGATGGGCACTGTTTGCATGTGACGCGGCGCGGCGCGGCGCGGCGGCCGCCGCAGTACACAGCCCTTCCCACTGGTGTGGTTGATGGGACCCACGGGGCCAGGCGCTCACTGGATAGGGAACATTGTGAAGCGCTCGTCATTCTCCACCAGCAGCGGCTCCTCCCCGGCCGGCGCACCCCCGCGCTGCCGCCACTGCTGCTCCAGCACCTCCGGCGCGATCACGCCCGGCACGGCCGGCAGGCTGCCGTGGCTGCTGCTGGCAGACAGGCGGCCGCAGGTCGAGGCGGGTGCGATGCAGGTGGGCGCGGCGGCGGCGGCGGGAGCTGCAGGAGGGAACAGCGCCGGCCGCGGGACCGAGGCTGGGGAGTCGTCCGGGGCGGCGGCTGCGGGGCGGTCGGGGCGCTCGGGTGTGGCTGGGAACGGCCACTCCAGGCCCGCAGGCGCGCAGCCGCCGGCCCCGCCGGCGTCGGAGCCGCTACTGCTGCTACGGCTGCTGCCCGCGCTGCTGTCGTCCAGGCTACTGCTGCTGCCCCTGGCATCGATGCAGTGCTGGGGGCTGGCGCAGGGGCCGTCACATTGACTGGCTCCCAGCGCAACCTTGCTGAGCGCTGCGGCCGCCACCCGCACCAAGGCGTCACCAGCAGGGCACGGCGCAGCCTCCTGGCGCGCCGCGCTCTGCAGATCGACCAAAATAGTTGTGACAGATGGATATTGAGACGTCAGAAGCATCATAAACCCATTCATCAAGCCTTGCCTCGGCAGGCCGTCGCTTTTGTGACGTCGGGAAGGTGCGTCCCCGGCTCAATCCAGCTTCAAAGAGCATTAAATCGCGTGGGATAGCCTACCTGCGGCGCAGCCATTGTCATCAGGAGCCCGAGGTGCCACGGCCCCAGATCAGGCAACGCTGAATGCGTGTTGCAAGTTGACCAAGCAGCGTGTATACAAGTATTATGAGTGGTGTGTGATAATGAGCGCCACCAAAGACGCCCCACGCCAGTCAACGCACCCGATAAAGACGGTGGCAGCTGCTCCTGTTCCCGCCAGGCGTGCATCAGGTCCCAAGGGCCAAGCTCGGTTTTGGGTAAGCTTTTGCAATGCCTCAGCTGTCTGATACAGCCCAGAAAGAGAACATTTCTGTTGGTTGCAGCACCGTTCCTGATTGTTGACCCTGCTTGACTGGATGGCACCACTTGCGCTGCAGGGCCACAGCAAAGGGATGGGGTCGGCCAAAGCTTGGCTAAGACCTTTATGAACAGGGCTGCTGCTATGCATCAAGCAGCCAATCCTGCATGAATGTACTGTACCCCGTGGACCTTGTCGCATGCACGGGCTGGAGTTGAGGGGGCAACTGTGCAGCGCATGCGCGCAGTGCCACTGGCCCTGCAGCCGTCGCCTGCAACAGAGCGTTGAGTCCAGTTGGGCCATTCGGCCGAGGGGACTAGCGAACAGTAATTGGGCTGTGCGCTGCACAACAGGGTGTTGCTGACAGGGCCCAGTTGCACCTTGGTTGTACAGATGCAAGAAAATTGGCACCCGGGCCTGCACTATTACAAGGTCCCGCACTGTGCAAGCTGGTCTATGGAGAAGCCAGAGCTACTTAATAGGGTACATATGCAGTACAGAGATAGGACAAGTACCTCGCATAAATGGGTGCGCCATGCCTGGCTACGAGTAGTCTACAGGAGGATGACAGTCACGAGTCAGGACACACAGGGCGTCGAATTGCACAGGCTGGCACCGCTATCTAGTCGCCGCACCGCTTTTTCGCTCAAGCACCAGGGGGCCTAGGTCAAGCCGTGTGCCACCGCATGATCAAGCGCTGCCGCCGAAACGTCCGCCGCTGTGGCCAGTAAGCCGACAGCCGCTGCCGCCGCCGCCGCCGCCACGGTGCTGCCCTTGGCGCCCCCTCGCTCGCCTGCGCCGCCGCCGCTGCCATTGATCTCGCCACCCTCGCCTCCCTGCTCGTCATCCTGCTGCTGCTTGGCCTCCACCGCCGCCCAGATCGCCTCCATTTCAGAGTCCACCTCGCTGCCCCCTTCGCCGCCCCCACCACTGCTCGGCTCGCTGCTGCTCCCGGCCATCTCCCAGCCGCCGCTGCTGCCGCCCTCCTCAGACCCCAACGCCTCCTCCGCTGCCGCCGCCGCCGCCGCCTCGGCCGCCTCCGCTGCCGCGAGCCGCTCCCGCCGCAGCGGCGAGTCGAGCTCCCCCTCAAAGCTCAGGCGGTAAAAGCCCGAGGACGTGTCAGAGTCCACAACAGACACCAAGATGCGCTCCCCAGGCGCCGCGGTCCAGGGCAGCTTGGTGATGGTCTCCAGGCCCAGGGGCTCTAGCAGTATGGCCGCCAGGCCGGCCTCGGGGCGGAACATGCCCAGCACCGTGGCCTCGAAAGACTCGCCCAGGCGCTGGCGCATGAACTCGGCGGCCCAGTACTTGTAGGTCTGGGCGGGGCGGTGGGGGTGGGCCTGACGTTTGGGGCAAGAATGACAAAGGTCTTCAGGTGCAAGGCGTGCACATGCGGTTGAGGGTGTCGGTTGATGGCCAGGCATGCAGCAGTGCAGTTGCAACAGGCCTGCTCCCAGGTAGGGTCCAGTAGCCAGAAGGGAAATTGATTGCACCCGCCAGGCCCCACAGCCGCCGCTGCCGCGCACCTCGTTCTCGGCGCGCCCGAGCTCCCGCCCCGTCTCCCCCGCGGCCGCCAGTATGGACGCCAGCTGCGCCGCGCCAAAGGGCGGGGCCTCCTCCCTCAGCGCCGCCTTGATGTTCCAGTGGGCCAGCATGTCGCTGTAGCGGCGGATGGGTGATGTCACCTGCGGGGTTGATTGGGGATGAGAGTGAGGAGGGAGACGGGTCAGGTGGAAGATGATTGGAACAACAGACCGTGCAGAGTTGACAAAAGGGAAGCACGTGCGGGTCGCGGTGGGCCATCCACTTGTTAGGCAACATTTGAGGGAACTTGCAAAGAGCTGCACCGTCGCCACAACCAATGGGTGGGGACACCCAGATTTCCGTGCGGCTTGTGGCCGCCGGGGTGCGGCGCCCGCTACGGACGGGAGTCGCAGGGGATGCAATGCGGACGGCGCATCGCTTGGCAGTCTCGTCCCCCCAGACCCGGCGGCCTTTGCCCACCTGAACGTACGCGTCCAACGCGAGCGACGCGTGCGGCACCGCCGCCGGCTCCATCACGCTGCGCGTCATGCAGCGGCGCAGCGCGTAGCCGCGGCAGGGGCCGTCGGGCAGCGCCGCAAGGACCGCCTCGTCCGGCAGCAGCGGGGCCTCCTGGCCCCTGGGATAGCAGATAGCATGAGACGTGGGTTGGGGGCGAATTTTACATTTGATTGCTGGCCAAAAAGCAGGAGGTGATGGGAGATTGTGGTGTGCCGATTGGCGCCGCGTGGGCGAGCAGGATGGTCGTTGGTTGATTGAGGTGCTAGTGGTCCCGCCGTCGTCGCGGCGGGTTGCGCAGCATCGCGGCCGGTCACGAGCTGTGCCGCGCGCACCTGAAGGGGAGCGGCAGCCCTCTCCGGCGGCCAAAGTCGCCGGCCGCTTCACCCGCCAGGATCATCAGCCTGCGGCGGGCGGGCGACAACACAGGACGGCTGCTGAGGAGGCGGGGGCGACGGGCGAACGGTGGCCGGGGCTGCGGCAGCAGAAGGGCTCGAAGGTGCGGCCGCCGCGCGCGCATTGCAGCTGGCCCACGAGACTGCAGTGAGACCAGGGAACCCGGGTGCGCCCACTGCGGCGGCGCTCACTCTGCCACCATGACGCGCGCAGCCGACTCCCACTGCGAGAGGGGCGTGATCGTGATGGAGGGGCGAGCTGACGCTAGGTCCTCAGAGGGCACCTCAAACTTGGCCTGAGGTTGGGGTTGACAATGGGACACGGTAGCAGGTGGCAAAGGAGGGTCATGAGGGGTTGAAAGCGAGTAAATTCAGCTGCGTCAGGGGGTGCTGCATTGATGGAGGGGTGCAGGAGAGCGTTGCTAGCTGGGGTGCAGCGACGTTGCTGGTGCAGGCAGGAGACTGGCGGGCACACACGATGGCAAGTGCCGCAAGAGGGCGGGGGGAATCCCTGTGTCCCGGCCCACCTCCGGCAGGTCAATATCGATGGCCCCCCGAGCTGCGCGCCAGGCTTTCCTGTGGTGAGGGATCAGTGGGAGGCGTGCTGAGAGGCGGGGCAGATGGGCGGCACAGGGGCGCAGAACGAAAGGGGGGACAGACGATTCCGGAACGACCGCAGCGGGCAACATGACGCAGCTAGGGTGGCGGACATCCCAGCTCAACCCAAGCGTATGCGCGCGCACACAAGTGGTCTCAGAGACACCAGCCCACACCCTCACATGGAGGCGCCGCATGGACACCTTCTCCCCGCCCCCAAAACATGGCAGCGCACCCATCAGTATGCGCACCTGAGCCGTGCCGCCTGGTAGATGCTCTGCAGGTCCTCGTGGGCGCACCCCTCCGGCCCCAGCGCGATGTCCGCGTCCGCCTCGTCATACGTCAGCCGATTAGTCACCTTGACGAAGCTCGGCACGACCTCGTACCCGCTCAGCGACCCGTCGCCCGCGAGCGTCGCGCCGACGCTCAGCGCGCAGCACGCCGGCGCGCTGGCGGCGTCGGCGCCGTCCTCGGCGGCCCTGAGGCTGAAGGCACCCTCCGCCAGGACGGCGGGGAACATGGGGATGGACCCAAACGGCAGGTACAGGGTGCGCGTGCGCGCCCGCGCCTCAGCATCCACCACGGACCCTGTGACAAGAGGCAGCAGGGTTGAGAAGTGGGGTTGGCTGACTGTCAACATCATAATCACGCCTGAGAATGATGCTACAGGCCTTGCATTGCAGGCTGGCAGCAGTCCCCTGCAGACATATCCTGCCTGCTCAAAGCAAGGTGAATCACCTGGTGCCGACGAGCCCCCGAGGCCCACCCACCTGGCTGCAGCCAGCGCGTGGGGTCCGCCACGTGCACCCACAGCTTCACATCGCCACTGGGAAGCTGCTCAATGCTCAGACCGTCGTCCACCTGTTGAGGTAGAGAGCAAGGGGTCAGCCGAGTGCGGATCATGCCAGGCTCACACAAGCGTTGCGCAACCGCCAGCAGCAAGCAAACAACAGCCCACACAAGGAATTCAGAAAAACAGGTGCCTCTAGCAGGCCGCGAGGCTGTTGAGACCCGGCGTGAGGTCAAGGTGCAAGGTTGTTGCGCATTTGCGTTTGTCGCCAACTGCTGCCCGTCCACACCTCTGTGGTGCCAGCGTCGTCGACAGTGAACACGCGCAGGTGCGTCAGGTCGCGGCGCATCGCGGCGTCAGGGTCCGGTGGCGGCGCCGCCGCGATCGCCTGGACACGGGGGCAGGCGGGACGACGACCGCTTTTAAACCGGGGACTGGAACACTGGAGACTGGGCATTGGGCTGCACGCGCCATTCTCGCCACAAGCACGGTGTTGCAAAATACGTGCGTGCGTGCTGAGATGACCTGTGTCGAAACGCCGACCCACAATCCCAGTAGTGACCCCAACACCGGGCCACACAGCTCTGCCTTGCTGAACACAGCCTGGCCACGCGTGCCCCTACCGACCTGCGCCGCCGCCTCCACGTCAGCCTCAAAATCCAGCCGCGCGCCGGCCCTCAGCAGCGGCAGCGGGTCGTGCAGCCTGGCCGCCCCCAGATCCGCCAGCAGCGCCCAGGCCAGGGCCGGCGGGTCGGACTTGACGCCCAGCAAGGCGAGGCTGTCCTTTGCCAGCTCAGCGGCCGCCGCGCTGCAGCCATGGAGGCCGCTGAGAGCGAGCTCCTGGGTGGGTGGCGGGTGGGGTTGGGGGTGCGGCGGGGGGGCTTGGGTTTACGCAGTTGGGAGCGGCGCCCGATGGGGTACGCGCCGTTGCGCACGGGGCCCAGCGCTGTAGCCATTAGGTCATGAGGTCACCGGCCAATGCCATACAGCTAATCGCATCCTCCTGTCAACGGATGGTGTCTAGTCAGCCATAGGTGTCTACGAACATGCAGCCACCGCAGGACCCAGGGCCGAGCCTGGATGTCGTCCCTTGGCACCCCCAGCATCACACACCTTAATGGCCTTGACGCGCGCCCCGAAAGGCCCCGCCACCCATGCCTCCCAGCCCGGCTTGTCCCCTGCCGCGGTGCCCCGCGCCGCTGCCGCGGCGGCGGCGAACGCGGCGCGCTCCTCCTCCTTGCGCCGCTCCTGCTCCAGCACCTCCTGCGCCGCCTTGACTGCGTCGGGGCTGCGCGCCTGGTAGGCCAGGCCGGACTTGCCGGACTGTGATGTGCGCGAGGGGCACAAGTGTGGTCCAAGTGAGTAGCGGGCATGGATGGCCATTGGAAGGGTTGCGGGCATGGATGGCAGGGGCGTGCCCAGGGTGTGCGGGCAACAAGGGTGCACGGGTCACTAAGGCCACAATGCGTGAGAGCCAGCAGCCGCGCGCTGTGCCAGCGCAGCTGGCTCCTAGGCCCCCCAGCAAGCGCTCTGGGTCTCAAACCGCCCCGCAGATCCTGCAACCCAGACAGCGTCCCTCGATTGGTGTCAGCAGCAGCAGAGGCCCCACCCCAGCCTCCAGCCACGCTATCTCCCACCCCCTCCCCCCGTCAGCCGCGCCCCGCACCGACTGCTTGAAGTAGACGCGGTCCTGCTGCAGAAGCCAGAACGTCGTCCACTGCTCCATCGCGCCGTCCGCATCATACAGCAGCGCGGCGAGCTCCGGCAGGCTCAGCGCCGCGCCGGCCGTCCCGCCGCCGCCGCCGCTATCGTCCTCCGCTGCAATCGCCCACGCAATCTCAAGCAGCGACGCGTCCGCGCCCGCGGCGGCGGCGGCGAAGCGCTCGAGGTCGTCGGGCGTGTAGCTGCCGCCGGGCAGCACCAGGGAGGCGGCTTTGGGGGGCACGGACGACTTGTGGCCGCGCGTGTCGACCACAAACCACTGGGCCTTGCCGTTTGGGGCTGTCACGAGGCCCAGCATCTGCGCCTTGCCATCCTTTGAGAACGCCACCAGCTGGCCGGGCGACAGGCCGGCGGCGCTGGCGCCGGCGTTCTTGGCGGCGCGCGGGGCGGCGCCGCCCCTGGAGGG